GTTTTAAATACCCATTGATTTACGTAATCATATTAAAGTAAGACAACTTCCTAAATAAACTAATATACATTTATAAGAATTGTGCCTTATAGTAAATGAGAATTATATATTCTCATATACACACATCCATTCTTATACATATACACAATGTAATTAATAATTTTATATAATTTTAACATATATTTGTGGGCAACAATAGAATATTTTATTTTTGGTTCTTGATCAACAGAGAGAGTGAGAGAAAGAGAGAGGGGGAGAAAGAGAGAGGGAGAGAAAGAGAGAGGGAGAGAAAGAAAAAGAGAGAGAGAGAGAGAGAGAGAGAGGATACCGTTTCATACATTATTTTAGAAATAAACAATTGTTTTATATAACTTATAAAACACGTTTTTGCAATAAAAATTTGAATGAAGTTTTATGAGGTAAATCTTTCTTCACATTTGCCGAGTTTTATAATTGATACAGATATTGAAGGAGAGAGGGGAGTTTTATAGTTGAATAAGATTTGTGGTAAAAATGTAAATTATCTTTTAACCGATACACTGGTCACAATATATGAGATGGTCGTTTCCTTGTACAATATACATCCTTATACAATCAAGCAAGCAGCTAACATCCTTGCATAAAACCTTCTACTGTATTAATCAGCAGATATCAAGTATATTGAATCGATGAATAAGAATTTTTCTCAACACGGGTCACAACGACGGCGATAGTTTCATCTGTGTGCGCTCTGGGTTCTGAGGTCTAACATTAATCAAAAGATTGGGAACTTTGCCATATTAAAATAAATATATTAAAATAATTATCTAAATTTTTTTCTCATCTATAAAATTTTTATAAAAGCTACGTATTTATAAAATGGGGAAATATTTTGAAATTGTTATCATCTAAGAACATTCGATGTATTAGGATTTTTCTCAACACGGGTCACAATGACTGCGATAGTTTCATATGAGTGCACTCTGCGTTCTGTAGATCTTCTGTAGTTATAAGATTTGGAACTTGCTCTTACTAAAATAATTATTTAAATTTTTTTTTATCTATAAAAATTTCATAAAAGCTACGTGTTTTTCGAAATTGTTATCATCTAGGAACATTTGAAAAATTGAAATTTAATTATTATAGTTGATTTCTTAAAAAAATATTTTTTCGTTTTTAAGTTTTAATTAATAAAAAAAAAAAATAATGTGTGTATCTGTTTCATTATATTAAAATCGTGGGCTTTGTCTTTCTTTCAAAATTTTGTATTGTGACCGCCAACATCTCCAGTAAAATTTTCACGAGTAATATGTATTGTGAAAACTGTAGGACTATGATTGGTTCAACTCTTCAAACCTTTGGAGGTTATCTGTGTGGAAATGGACATTTGATTTGTTCTGGCTGCTTCAGAAAATCTACCGGACAATGTGCGTTGTGTGGAGATCAAAATATGCGTCTTGTATCCAACTGTTCAATGCATTCAGTACTAATATCTAATCCGCCATTGATTCCATTCTCTGCTAGCACTGCTAGCAATAGAGCCACTGCTTCATACCGAGATATATCAGCAAATACGGTTGCTATGACGACGACTAACAATAAAATTAATCCAAATTTTTTTAAAATATTGCAAAATCAGGGTGTTCAGATGGCAGCAACGAATGTCAATGTGTTGAATCCAAATTCAACGATAGTACATTCAGGGATTTCTGAAGCAATGAGGTCACAAATGGTAAATTTACAAGAAAATATTCGTAATAATGCAGCAAAGATTATAAAACTTTGCGAAACCAACACATCATCTGCGCATATGCAAGTCACAAATAAACTAAGTAACACATCTGCACAAGTAATAACAACTCCAAGTGCTCCACCAGTGGAAACCCTTCTTGATAATTCGATTGAGATTCAAATTAAGAATTGCATTAATTTGATTGATTATGTTTTGCGGTCACAATTTATTTATTGTGGTGCAGCTCCTTCAAATCAGCCTAAAATTCAGGAAGTAATTCCAAAGAAAATTTGTTCAACTGAAGCTGTTGCTATTAGTGATTCAAAGATACCAGCAACAAACGTGGCAGATAATAGCAATATCAGTTTAAGTTCAAATGACAAAAACGTTACTTCGGATCCATCGTACAGTCGTTTATTATTAAAAACTGAACAGTTGGAGTTGAGTAATCAGATGCTGTCTGATAAAATTACTCAACTGACTGAAGCAATTAAATTATCAAATCATGACAACACTGTACCTAAACAATCGGAAACACCAATAACAGTTGATAAAAAGTCAACATCAACTTTTAGTTTAACGTCCCAAGAACCTCAGGTCATATACTCTCCACCAGAGCAATCCGTAACTAATCAAAAAGTCAATGCAGAAGTAGATATATATATCCCTGGTCAAGACACGAAAAGTGCAGTTACTTCTGATAAAATGCCAGATGAAAAAGAAAAAAGCATCCAAAACCTTATTCAAAATTCAAATAAAGAAATTGAAAATTCTACCATGAAAATAAGTGAAAATCCATCAAATTTACATTTTAACGATATAGGATATACCAAGCATTTTGTTGATTGCTTATTGATGAGAAATCGAATTCTCGAGTTAGAAAATGATGCTTTGCTAGCTAAAGTAGCGAAAAAATCCACTATAGTATTTCCCTCAA